ACACGAAAATACGAGCGCCTAATTATACTCTTTTTCTATTATTTATTAACGAGGGTCTCGTACTGGCAGACTTGGTGTCTTTTGGTTGCATACGAGGGACTATTAATCAGCTGCCGGCTCGTTATAAGTTCACGTGCTACGTGATGCCAAACAGGCTCATAAAGAGTGTGCCACACTCGTCGCCATGGCTAATGGTGGCGCTGACTGACACTCCCTCGTGTAAATTCACATGTATATCCAAAGCATTGGCTGAGGGGATAGCCGCCGTAGTAGCTCAGTGGTAGAGCATCGAACGCTTTATTCGAAGGCCGCAGGTTTGGTCGCTGCTCATGACAAGTTATTTTTTCACCCACTTTTCTTTCTTCAAATTTACTAAACAATTCAGTCAATTATTTTGCCTTATATGCTTTCCTTGGCATCATTGGTTGTTAAATATCATTAATATGGTGTAAAAACAGGAAAAAGCGAGCCATATATACTTCTTTCCCTTAATAAATAATGAGGGTCTCGTAGAGGCAGCCTTGTTGTCTTTAGGTTGTACACGAGGGACTATATATTGGTCAGCTGCCAGCTCGTGTATATTTCACGCGCTACGTGTCGCCAAACAGGCTCATAAAAAGTGTGCCACATTTGCTGCCATGGCTACTGGTGGCGCTGACTGATACTGCCATGTTAAAATTCACATATATACGCAATACATCTGCTGGGGGGATAGCCGCACTGGTAGCTCATTGATAGAGCGTCGAACGCGTTATTCGAATGTCGCAGGTTCGGTAACTGCTCTCGGCAAGTTATCTTTTCACCCACTATCTTTCGTCACATTTACTATACCATTAATATAATTTCCCATCTACATTCCTTGGCATAATTGTCTATTAGATGTCATTATTATGTTGGGAAAACACGAACACGTCTTTTCCTTATTCATTCAAGAGGGACTCGTACTGGCAGACTTGGTGTCTTTAGGTTGCGAACAAGGGACTATTGGTCAGCTGACAGCTCGTAATAAGTTCACGTGCTGCGTGACGCCAAACCAAACGCCAAACAGGCTCAAATGTGCCCCACTAGCCGCCATGGCTACTGGTGGCGCTGACTGACACTCCCACGTTTCAATTCAGATATATACGAAATAATGTGGCTGAGAGGATAACCGCCATGATAGCTCAGGGGTAGAGCATCGAACGCGTTATTCGAAGGTCGTATTTTAGGTTGCTGCTCAAGGCAAGGTATTTTATCACCCACTATTTTTTCTCCACATTTACTATACAATTTGGTCAAGTAATTCCCTATACTTTCCTTGTTATAATTATCTGTTAGATGTGATTAATATGGTGTGAGAACAGGAAAAAACAAGCCTTTAAGGATACACTTCTTTCACATAATATTTAACGAGGGTCTCGTACTGCCAGCCTTGTACGTGTCTTTAGGTTGCATACGAGAGACTACTGGTCAGCTGCCACCTATCGTAATAACTTCATGTGCTATGTGACGCCAAACAGGCTTATAAAGAGTGTGCCACACTCATCGCCATGGCTACTGGTAGCGCTGACTTACACTCCCACGTAGGGAGCCTACATGAACGGCCGTTTTTAGGGTGGAGACATCTTAATAAGTGCCTTCAAGAAACTCAGCCAAAACCAGCGGGCAACGGGGCACGCTGTTGCCAGCTTCCACCAAATTCAGCATAGTTTTCTGTGCGCCGCCACTTTGGAGCCAGCAAACACACAACACCTGGGCTTTTTACAGCGGCGGTTCTCAGGGTCGTGTAAGCGACCCAGTTCTCAAAGTGAACAGTGAACAGTGAACTTTATTGACATCATGTACATAGTACACAATGCCGGAGGCCGGCAGAAAAAGCCATCGCAAGGATAGCTTGACGAAGCTGCGGGCCCCCGTTTTGGCACCAGCGTACAACGGTGTTCTCAGTACATAAACAGACAACAACAATAACAACAACAACAATAACAACAAGAAAAAAAATATGTACTGAACAGATAAATCACTTAGTACTGGACCCGAAGGAAAATGTGAGCCCACTACAAATAACCACGTCTTGCGTACAAACCATACACAAAAGAAAATATACACCAACGGATGTACTAAATAGCTCAGTACATATAGATTACCTTCATAATACATGCATACAGATTAACATAACTTTTTAATTTACATAGAGTACACTATAGATATATAATTGCACAAATCATTCAATACACGACCGAAAGAAAATATGAGAAAATATGAGGTGGTTACAAATCGCCATGTCTAGCGTACACCGACATATTCTCTATAGCTGACACTAATAGGCATGCGCGAGATATTATATAGTGTCAATGTAATTATTTGCAAGAAAGGAACGTATTGCATTGAAAGTGTTGGTTTCCAGCTGAAAGTTAAATTCATTTAAAGCATTTAGTAGCCTCGGAAGTCTGTTTCCTAACGTATGTCGCCCATATGTTGTTCTACAAGTTTTAACAGTCCAAATTTTGCAGTTTCGCGTTTCATAAGGCTGACAATTTTTTTTAAGGTTGGCAAGTTCAGTCAAGAATACATGTTTCCCCTTTAATTCTTGTTTATAGGCTTTCGTTAATCTAAAGTTGTACATCTTCTCAAAAGGCATTACATTATACTTTTCAAACAACGGGTAGGTGTGAAAATGTGAAGGCACGTCCTCTACAGCACGTAGAAATCTTTTTTGTAGACAATACAATTTTTGTATGTTTTATTGACTAGTGGATGCCCAAACTAGATGGCAATAGTTAATTCTTGAGGAAAATAAAGAGTTGTAAATTAATATCATTACATGTCTCGGAAGGATCAGGCGATTCCGGTAGACTAGTCCCACTATTTGATATAACTTACTTGATATTGTGTCGATGTGCTCGTTCCAAGAAAGGTTTTCCTGGAAGACCACTCCTAGTGTTTTAATGTTGGGTACAATATCAACCGGGGTCGAATTCAGCAGTATTTGTTGCGTCAATGTTACCTTCTTATTTTTACTTCTGAATATTACAGATTTGGTTTTGCTCGTGTTTATTTTAAAATGGTTTTTCTCAGTCCAGCTATTTAGGTTTTACAATACAAAATTTGCTTCACCAACTAATTTGTCCGCCGAATTTCCTCGTAAAAATATGCTGGTGTCATCAGCATAAATAATAAATTCAGCGCTAGGGCTAATGCTGACCACGTCATTAATATAGATATTAAAAAGAAATGGTCCCAAGATGCTCCCCTGTGGTACACCAGAAGATAAAGGCAATAGATCGGAAAAACAGTCGTCGATATGAACCCTTTGTTTCCGATGTTCCAGATAAAACGTAATTAGGTGCGCGGCATTCCCTCGAAAACCGTAACGGTCAAGCTTTTTAATTAGAATTTGGTGATTTATGTGATCTAAAGCCTTAGAGTAATCAATAAACAGCCCAAGAACCAATTCTCCTTGTTCTAGCGCTGCCAAAAGTGACTCTTTTTGTTTTAGCAATGCGAACTCCGTACTAAGTCCTTTGCGGAAGCCAAACTGTGAGGTGTTCAAGAGACTGTGCTTCTCTTCAAAATCTGTAAGACGATTTAAAATAACTTTTTCTAACACCTTTGACATGACTGGCAGTATAGACAGGGGACGGTAATTGCCATGTCGTTTTTGTTTCCTTTTTTGTGTAAGGCTGTTACACGGGCTACTTGCATTTTACGGGGGAAAACAGCCTGGCACAAACATAGGTTAAAAAAAGTGAGCACACGAAGAAATTCGCAGCCCACACACAAACACTTGCGACATAATACTGAGGTTACGCTGACACAAACGCAAGCGTGGCAACAGCTCAGACTAGCGAGCGCGTCTCCGTACGAACGCGCGGACGCGTCCCGTTTGTGGGCTTCCTACTCGCAATGCGTGGACGCAGCAACGACAACTTCGGTTATCTACTCATTCGCGAACACCGCGAAACACATATACGCAGGAAAAAACAGTGAACGAAATACGCAGTACTCACAGAGCAAATACGAGACGCACTGGTGGGCTCCTAGCCATCTCGCTTCACTTGAGCCAGCCATAGTTGTCGTCGGACAGGGCTTGCTGGGAAGCGGAACATTCGCACCCCCTTTCTGTTGTGGTTAGTGCAGAGCGGTACGCAGCATCCAGGCATTCTAAGGCTTCACCGGCAGCGTTTAACACGCTACCGCAACGTTCGACGCCGTATAATTGAGAACTAAACGCAACCGGGCGTAGACGCAGTGCGGGCACCAAGATGGGGCGACAGCGCGGCGTTGCTGTCTGGCAACATTGTGTTTTGACGGGCGGTGGTGCGTTGGCGGCATGTAGTGGGTCAAAGGCTGACATCACCCTAAAAACGGCGGTTCATGTAGGCTCCCTACTCCCAAGTGCGAAGTGCATGAAAAAAAAAAAAAAACTTTTATTTACTACTGGACGATGTCTCTATATATCTATGGAATGTCCATTCAGTGTTCATGTGTAACGTCCTGCAACCTTACTCGGCTGAGCTTTTTATAGTTGCGGGTACATCTAATCTTTGTTTTTCGGATTTATATGCATATCTTAGAGATATTTACAATGTCGACGAGGAACATACTATCGATTTCTACGCAATATTTATGGTTCTTTTGGATGCTTGCAGCTGGGAAAATGTGTAGATAAGGATCCAGCTGGAGCTGTAAACTGTTGTTATTTTGGAAATAAATGGATGGACAGTGAGGTCCTAAATACTTATTTTTCGCGCGTGAGAAATGCACGGGATATATGTCCTCGCCCTCCTCCTCCCTTACCAAGATTAAAAGGAGATCGAGAACACATAAGAAAATCGCAGAAGGGCACCTAAAGGTGAACTTCTACGTGGTAGCACCAAATTATTTCAATAACGTGCGAATAAAAACTCTGTCGCATTGCGCGCGTCGTCTAAATACAGCGCTGCACGCGCGCGACCCAGAAACGCATGAGCGCAGAGCGCATGCGCGCACATCTGCGCGCGACGTCGTCGCTGGCGTGAGGGGGTGCGCGGTGCGCTCGTCGATACAGCCGTCTTGGGTTGAAAAACAAAAAGAGCGGCAATAAAGGAAGTTCGCTGGAAGAATTACCCGTGGCGCCGGTGCACCCTTCGGCAGGCGTCGCAGTACGAGGTAAAACACCAGCAGCAGTGCTGCGCGCAAACAAATGCGCCGCTAAGCCTTGCCCGGAGGACGCGCTAACGCCCCTGCGAAGCGCGCTTCCACCCAAGGAACGGGTGCTGCGGCGAAGCCGACCTCCTGCCGCACAACATGTTGGAGCCGTCGTCGTCGGAAGACGAAGGCGGCAGCGACAACGAACCGGTCGAGGATGAGGTCTCGTCGGAGGCGGCCGCCGTGGTTCTCGAGCTGCCGCGCAGCGTGAGCGCCTCTCGGAGCCTGTCGCCGGCCGCCGAAGCGTCGCCGTCGGCCCAGTCGCGCTCCAACAGTCTGGCGCGGCCGTCCAGCCCGAGCCCGTCGCTGGTGAGCGAGAAAGACGAGACCGCCGAGCGAGAGGAGGAGCTGCGCAAGAAAGGCTCCAGCTGTACGTGTTCGTGCTCAGATGCGTCGCGTATCCGTTCAACGCCAAGCAGCCGACCGACATGACCCGACGTCAGACCAAGATCACCAAGCAGCAGCTGGACACTATCCAGGCCAGATTCCAGGTAAGCTCCACATGGTCTACGTTTGCAGAAAGCGACCTATGCAGCGCTCGCCAGCTGACTGGAAATGTGAAATCCCTTATACTGCGCTGTTTCCGAAGGAGAAACGAATGTACATGCTTGCCGGTCGCACCAATGTGTGCTCGTTTTATTGAGAATGCTTTCAGGGCTGTTTCGTAACTTGAAGCATGTAAGCTGCCACAGGCCACTTCGATCCATTCTCCGACCCCACAGTGAACCGGTTCGGGGCTCGAGAAGTTTTGAAATTGCATGATGTATAGGCACACCACCAAAGTAACGATGAAGAGCAGTGACTATAGGTTTTACCTGAAAGGATGTTTGCAACAGACGTCCGTTTTGAAAAAAAAAAAAAAAAATCTGCTGGATTGGTAATTAATTATGAGGCATAAGCACAGCCCACATTATGTAGTCACAGCATGTATATGTGGGGAACCACACGAGAACGTTGTGGTTCAGTATATTTGTGGAGGAGGAAGATGGAGTCTAATAAATTTACATCGATCTTCGTACAGCCATCACATTTTCCCGCGTTATACGATATATGTGCTCGACATATATATGTACTCGACAGTTCCTATGCCCATGTGAATCTGCAGATTTAATTGCACCTGTAGCCATTTAATTAATTTAATTTTCATTTATTAATTTATTTGCAACAAATGCTGCTGGAGACCAGAGGAAAAAAGCCAATCAATCAGGTTGAGGATGTTCTGGCCACCTTACACGAATGCAGGCAGCATAAACGGTGCTTACAAACAAAAGAAAAAAAATTCCCACATATAATATTGCACCTGGCTCAGCTGCACGCAAGAAAGAAATGTGGTTGAATATACAACGTAAAGAAACTTGCAAAATTTTTTATTTTGACAAACAATGGTAACAAATAGACACAGTGTTTGAAAACAAATTTATGGTAAGAATTTGGGGATAAACGGTTTCTGGAGTTTTTTAAATGAGATTTGTGTCAGAATAAAGAGCTGCTCTTCACAACTTGTCGAGGGGCTAAATGATCCAATGAAGCATGGCAGCAAACCACCTTGGCAACTAGGTTCTCCCACGCGTGCCTTCAGACTTTTGAGGAAGACTTCTAAAGTTGTGTCTCTACATTGGCTATCATGTGCAGGAAAATGTGGACCAGCTTTTCAGACTTTCCTCTTGAAATGAATAACATATGGTTTGGAGGATGCCACTGCTGTGCCCTTGATTCGAATGCTAAGTTGCAGCAACTCACTCGTGAGCCGATGAAGCCAAGCTTAATGGTCATCGGCTATGCCCCGTCCCCTTATTCTAAAGACAAATCATATATGCCTAACCTGTTGGAAAGCACCATGGTTTACCATGTGTTTGTTTCGCTTCGAACACTTGTTTACTAGCAAAGCCTTTTTTCTTTTTTTGAAGGCCTGAGATGCTTATTTTTTATATTTGGACTGTTAGGATTATATAAACACCCAAATTTTTAAATAGTAGTGGGAAAGCAGCAGATGATGGAGTTTGAGTTAACGGGCTTTTAAATACATTGAAAGAATAGAGGACCAACCAAAAAATTGAATTTTGTTTGAATTAATCAAAACTGGATAATCAAAGGTTGAATTATCACGAGTCTACTGTAGTAGAAGTTATCATTCACATTGCATCTGACCAAAAAAACTTGGCCTTATGTTTACACTTCTTGCATTCATGTAGTAGATGGAATCTCTTTAACGCATGCATTATTAAGTGGTAGAAGCGTAAAATTGCACCAGGCGCCCGAATATGTGAAATGCGCAACAAGTGGGTATTTTAAAGGCCCACCGATTACAGAGTGCTCAAACATATGTTTGCGTGTGGACTTAAGCACGCATAGAGAGCCCTTTGTGAATTGGCGTAGTTGGCGCTTAAAAATTGTACTTTATAGTTTTAATTGGCACATTCAATAGACATTCTACGATAGTTTGAAAAGCCCACTGTTGCACGCACAGTCGTTCGTTACCTCACGGCATGGTTGAGACATACATCGAGACCGAAGCTAGTCTAGATATTGAGAAGATGGTTTAGACAAGGCCCGGTTACGCTATCGCGGTCTACTCTTGAAAGCGAAGCTCAAGCGTCGTCCAAGTTCTGTAATTGATGTGTTCGTAACGGTTGTGTAAGTTTTTCACACAATATATACACAATACTCAATGTCGTCACCTTGTTCATATCCGCCAACTGTTTCTGCATGTAATAATAACAATATAAGCGAATAAATAAATAAATAAATAAATATGGAATCGAATGATAATTTTCATTTGCACAACAATTTGAACTCTCCTGTAACGGGCAAGGCTAGAGAGGAAATTTTCTCATGATCGTCCGTCTGCTAATCCATCACCGCAGGGCGGAAGAGACTGGTAGCTGTTAGCTTCTCAAACTGCCTGTGGTAGTTTTTTATCTTGGTCCTGCCACTGTGTAACCATGTTTACAAAGAAAAAAAAGTGAATAAATAAGAAAATGGACAAGTTGTGTGAAGCGGAGTCGCCAGTCGTCGCCGTCGGAGCCCGGCGCAAAGCAAATCAGCGTACCTCACTGTAAATAAGTGTGATCCTCCTCGGTGTGCTTCATACATGACAAACGCGTTTTCGTACAAGAAACTAGGCTGTGTCAGAAACAGCCCGAGAAGTTACGTGTGAATATAGCGCACCATTTGCTGTAACTGCTGTGATCCTCCTCGGTATGCTTCATACATGACAAACGCGTTTTCGTACAAGAAACTAGGCTGTGTCAGGAACAGCCAGAGAAGTTACGTGTGAATATAGCGCACCATTTGCTGTAACTGCTGTGTTGGGGCTGGCTGGTCCCGACGAAGCAGAAGAAGAACACGGCCGACGGAGACGTACGCGGCCGGCGGGGACGCCGACCAGCCCGAACACGCGGGTTGGAGCGAAACGCTGAAGGAAAGAACAACACCGCACTCCACGGTTACCCAACACACACTGACTTTATTTACAGTCGCCATGAAATCCTAGATGCCAGAGCGGCGCCCCCTGGCACCCTCACATGTCATTTCGAAACCGAAACCGAAAACCCAGAATACAACAGTAACTGCTTGCCATCGCCGCCAGTGATCACAACACGCGCGCCCCAGGCCGCGGAAGCAAAATTGGACTGCAGCGCCACTAGTTCTTGCGACCGCCACCCGGCCCGCCTCTTTGGCGGAGCTTTCAGACTGAGGTTATTCTAGGAACGTTGGGATACGTGGTGCTAAGCTTTTCTCGATGCATTCGTGGATGAACTGACATTGTTTCAATGGCAGTAACAATTCACGTCCGAAGTCCAGTCCAGCTCACAGTCACTTTGCGTCTATGCTTATGTGAAGCTCCGCATCGTTGGTAAATGTCCAGCACCACTGACGGAACTCCAAAAAGTTGAATACCTCTTGCACAGAATTTGGTGCGCTAATACTGCCATGAGCAAAACAGCGCGTCTTTCGACAGTGTCCAGCATATGCACTCAGCTAGACAGGGCGACGCAGCACAGACAAGTGGCAAAGGAGTTGCACGATCATCTTGAGCAGCCTTTTCGTGGTCGAAGTAGCGAGAGTACACATGCCAGGCCCTTCAGCAATACCTCCAGCTCTTTATAGTTCAAGACTCTACCATGGGTCTCAGCCTTGTCCTACCAGTACTCCCCGTAGACATTGCGTAGCAGATCTACCACCTGCAGGAAAGGAAACTCAGTATTCAGCTTTGTCTGAGTGTTACGGTGTCACCCCTGCCTTCCATTCTGGACAGTTATTGAGTGAAGCTGTTTGCTTCAACTGTCATGAAAAGTGTTATTCAGCATCGTAGTGCCTAGCGAACTGAAAAGCTGTTATACAGCAGCCAGTCATGACTTCCACATCACATTTTGCAGCCACTCCTGTATTGCATGTCAGCTCCTTGGAAACCATCCAAGGCTTCCAACTGGAGTACTCATTCTTCACAGCTAACATTTCATCCTTAGGCTCCTATGATGCCTACCCAGACACAGGATCCCAGATAAGCTTGCTGTCCAAGTCCACCATTAAGAACCTTCCACTCATGCCCTGGACACATGAGCTCTTAGCAGTTGTTGGCGGTTCAAGCGTGCATCTTGAAGGCACAGTCTACCTCAAGATCTCAGTGGGCCCAATCACGAGTCTAGTAGGAGCAGCTCTAATCAGCGACAATGTCTTACTGTTAATACACGGTAAGGATTGTTTTTTTGACAGTAATACAGGACTAGTGTTTGAACCTCCCAATCCTTCTGAACTCCGCCATCCAGCCACGAGTACAGTCCTACCTAAAGCTGTATTCACGTGCCTACTGTGTAGTGATTCTTTGCTAGACTTTCCTTGCTCGATGTACTGAAATGCCATGTTAATTGTTGCTGCAGAAGGCTCCTGCGAACCTTTGAGCCAGAGCCAGCCCTCACAGCACAGCTACAGAAAATCGCTCGGAATGCCCCCGAGTGAAGCGTATGTTACTCACCTCATCATCGACTATTCACTGTTTGAGAATGACGACAGCTCACGTCTCTTAGTGCAACATGGGAAGGGCACAAAGAAAAAAACATTTTCACAGGAAAAGCCGTCAAGTGATCTTCTGCCAGTGCCCCAGACTACAGAGGTGGCCTTCCACGTGTCCATCATTATCCCACCCAAAAACATTTCAGTCCCTAAAGGTCTGCGAGATGTGACTCAATGGCACCACAGTTGCTCAGTATTCTATTCTGCCCAGCAAAGATGCTGCAGTGCTGTCAAACTGTTGCACGATGCCGACATTGCCACAGCCAACACCTGCCCCTGTGCCCCTGTCATCTGCTGTGGCTGTCACAGTAATGTCCACCATGGAACCATCGCCGGCATACGTGCCACCACAGCAAGTTCCTTCCTTAACTTGCTCCTTTGCAGCTTGCCCAAAAACGCCGGAGCCGACCTCTGTCGCTGCGCCCCCTAAGGTACAAAAGGACACCAAAAAAAAGTGGTCAACAAAGTTGTCTAATGC